AACATTATACCACATTGTATAGGTACATAACACGATAACATTTTGTAACATACTCTACAACGTGTCAAGTCAACTACTACGAGTTTGTTATAATTTGTTTAAAAACAATAGTTACGTCAGTATCTAACGTTATCTAACTGTGTGGGAGCACCTAAACAAAACAATCATACGTCGTTCCTACCTAACAACTAAGTATGACGTTAAGTCCATTCAACATACTCAAGACATCCTTACCGAACATTATTTCATAAATACAGCCACCAGGTACCCGACGCTACAACATTATAGCAATTATAAAACCGGTGACCGCTCTCCACTAACTACCGACCTTATTACTAGACCTTATTTCCAATGTTTAGAGACTACTTTTGTATCAACAAATTTAGGGGATTTTTTTTCAACAGGTTTTTCAACAAGTACATTCATAAGTTTGGCAAGGGGGTTCCGATGAAAGACACAAACACTCAAGCCAAGACGTAGTAATATAACTAATGTCCAAATGCTGAAAGGCTACTCGATTTTAAGTTGTAATTAAATATCGTGTCGTTTTATACAAAGAATTTTTAGTGACAGGACTATACTTACTTGACTTAATATCCTGTGTCCCCTAGATGGGGCAGAGGGCGTCCACTGAAGTTCTCTATCGCGATCTGTCTTGAGCTTCACGCTTCACCTCACTCCACGTCATACTGATGCTCGTTGCTTCTGCCAGTACGGTGCGACGCCAGGTTTGCCGAGGACGGCCACGCTTTCTTTTCCCTTGGGGACAGGACTATACAAGCGCGAAATAAAATTGAGTGGCGTTTGAGTATTTGGACATAAGTCCCATTACGTAGTAGCCGACGTATTATGGTACTTAAACGGGAATTCTCACCCGCTGCACACTAATTGGCATGATATCGAAACGTTGGAAATTCGCAAAACTGTTGTTCACTAAGCCCTTTCGTTCGGGAGCAGTCATTCGATGATTTTCCCCCTTAAAAAAGCCCTTTCGTTGAATGCAAGCGTTATTATTTTTGGGTGACGACTTTATAAATACAAGCCAACTATTCATATGCATAAAAAGTCTTTTTCCCTATTCATTCGATGGATTTAAAAAGAATTTGGTGGCACACAAGCCGCGTCGACAATTACGAAGTTGAAAAGTTTTCAAACGTTAGGCGGTTTCGAGTGGTTTTATGTATTTCCAGATATCTGACGAACACGCTGAAGTGACTAATTGGGAAGCATTCAAGGCGAAAAAGCTTGGACTACTTGAATTGAAGCAAAATTGCGTATTATATAGATTTTAATATAAGTTGTAACCATTAAAAATGTCGTTTAAAAACAATAATGTAGAAACAATGTTTGTGTATCCCTGTTGCGTGTTTCGAATATCCCTACCAGATCGACCCAGTAGTGCAATGGTAGTTAATACAATTTTACCCCTTTTAGCTAAAATGTCCGAACAAATTGGTTTGACAAACTTAACGATATTCCTTTCGTGTGTTGTCAAAATATTGGAATTAATTTCCTCCCCCAATTTGTTGAGGTAGATAGGTACTTATATATATAATTTATTTGTCTTTATTTTATTAACTCGTCGAGTACCGGTTTTATAGACACAATTAAAGAACAATAGGTCGCGGTCACCGGTGACCGCTTGGTGTTTGACAGTCTAAAAGTAAACTGCTACGGTACTCATATATATAATTTATTTGTTTGTCAGTTTAAAGTGCACCGCGTCACCCTCCGGTCGCAATTTTCATCGAGAAGAGAGTTAAGTACGGATCATAGCGCACCGTCTCGTCTCGACTTATTAATCTAATGAAAATCAATCTAAGTACATTGATACCTTAATTAATTGAAATTCTTCATAGTCTGTCGAAGTCTAGGTTTGAGCAAAGGAAATGGAAAAAGGTACGTTTCGCAAAATAATATAAAAGGAATTTAATAAATTATTTTTGCTTCCTGAACTTTGTAACTACGCCGTACTTTTCAAGTATTTGATTTGGGAAGTAATGAACACATTTGATACCAAGTAAAGATGTGAGAGGTAAAATAAATTGGCAGAAAGGTTCCCTGTCAATTAGGTCACATAACCGCACTTACTTGGACTGCATTATTTTAATGCAGAAAGGCCGCAGCACTCCACTCTACTTTATTATACAGCAAACAGCCTTAAAAGGTTGCGCTTGACTGTTAATTTAAAATCCCGGATCATTCAATTAATTTACTTACATTATGTAGATAGCATGGTATAACTAAAATGGCATTGGGTCGGCCATATAGCTAAAAATACCGATAACTGGTAGACTTTCCTCCTAACATCTAGGCCAGGCCCGGCAGACACGAGGAAAAGAGGCAGACCATACGCGCGGTGGATAGACGACATAATCATTGGATGAATATCGCCAAGAACATAGACAAATGGATAGCACTAGAAGAGGTATTCACTGTCGAGTGAAGTGAGGAGTTCTGACTCCAAGTACTAACTAATGTAAACTAATAAGAATGTATAGTGAAGGAAAATATAATTACGTAAAACCAATTTATATTAAATTCCTTTGTAAATTAGTAAGAAATTATTTATTTTTAATATTGATTTTATTATTTTTCTTCAATATTTATTTTATTTCTTATTTACTTTTCTTTACTTACTTTTTACATATGAAGGTATGTTGCAATACCTCCATACATTTGCTTATCATAATAAATTAAATTATTTTTCTTTTCAACCGACTTCAAAAAAAGGAGATGGTTCTCAATTCGATTGTTTTTTTTTATGTTTGTTACTCGAATACTCGAATACGCGTGGACCTATTTCAAAAAAAATTTTTTTGTTTGATAGGGTAGGTATGTCATTCGGTTCCATTGTCATAAAGTCAGGATCTAATGATGGTATCAGAGGGGAATCGAGGGGATCTTTTAAAAATTATAGGTGCGACTAGTGGATTTATTAATTTTTTCGTTAAGTATTTAAAACCACTAAAATCTGATAAAGGTCTGGAGTTGATCTGATGATGGAACCGAGAGGCAGTCGAGGGAACTCCTCAACGGTTGTGCAATGTGTTTGGGTTTGATTAATTTGTATTGTCGACATCTCACCTATCAGTGGATGTGTAAGCTATAAGTAGGTACGTAGGACCAATAGTAGTTATTTTTTACGTTTTAGTTTTTACTTTTCGTTCTTTTTAGTTTTTGAAGTCGGTTTTTAACAATATTATAATAACATAAATCAACAATCATAATTATTATGTTGTAACAAAAATTTTTCAAATCTTCAGACAAAGTTTTAATTACCAAGTACTTTTGCAGCGTTATCGGAATTTCGACTGACTTCATAATCTAACTTTTAGGTGTAATAAGCTAATAAATGAATGGCCCTGACGACATAGGTATCTATTGTTAGATTATAATCTTATTTTTACAAGATATAGAAGCTTGTCTGATGTTCAACGTCACCCATGACGTGGGAGGTACAAAAATGTCCATTATTTCATGCCATTTTATTTTTAACACCGTCCCTATAATTGGGGATCGTCTTTAGTTTGTGCTAAATTCTCTTGATTTTCAATTAATTATTAATAAGGTTGGAAAAATACTGGAAATTTAAGTCTAAAGATAGGTACCTAAACAGATATTTAGCTCTTAATAAAGATTAATTAAACCTCTGTTTGATACATTTTAATAGTTCTGAAAGTGCGAGTTTTTTACTAAAGCATACCTATATAGCCACATGAAGTAAAATTCCCGGTTATATATTTAATCAACGATTTAAAATTAGTAGCCACTTAAAATATCGTTAATAAATTACATCATTTCGGCGGAAATATATTCTGATATTACTTTTTAAAATAATTTCAGTATAAGAAAATTAAGTTTTTACTTCGATACTTCATTTGATAATGGTTTATTCACTTCAAGAACTATTTAGCAACATTTAGTAGATATTAAAACTATAGTTTTTTTTCATTGATAATATATTGGTATTTTTACTGACCTCAAAAAAAGATGAGGTACTCTGTTCGGATGTTTTATTGTTTTCCCTTTTCTTTTGCTAGTTCACCGATTACTCCGCCAATTGTAGACTGATATTTAAAATTACTTTTGTGTTCAAACAGACTTATCAGTGAGTAACTTATTAATCAGTAAGTACTCAGTACTAAAAATAACTATTTTTAGCTTGTGTGTTTTTACTTTTTGGTTTTTGTATTTTAAACGTAGTAGTAGTAACTCTTAACTTCTAAAATATCTAAACCCATTCCCTGAAACTTCACTATATTAGTCATTCCTACTATTATTGTCCCCATCATAGCCCGCGGCATATCATGAACATCTGCTAGACAGCTAGCAGAAAGGGGCCGACTGTCTTAGATTTGAACAAGTCTATATTTGGGAAGGCCACACGTGAACACTAAAATAATATTCATAGTTTGACTGCAATGCTTTTCTGACAGGTCTATCTTCAACATAGTGAAGACACTTTATCTCCTCATTCCTAAATAGAAACTTTATGGAAATTAAGTTGTATGTTTGGAGATATTAATATGTAGGACATTTTGAGCTTCATATTCAATTAACTTATAGGTTTTCTAGCAAAATCTAATCATTTCCCTGTAACTTTTGAACTACTGAAGTTCTTGAGATAACCGAAACCTTAGTACGAGTTTGTTTTACGTTTAAAGTAATCGAAACGAAACCGCGTTTGGCGCTCTGATTGGGGTTCATTAGAGCCGGCCAATCACAGCGCCGAACGCGGTCTCGTTTCGATTAATGTTGAAAATTCGTGCAACATTTCGACCTTCTTAGTAATATTTTGTAAGTAAACCTTTAACAATTGCTTTAAGCCGATGAAAACTAAAAACAAAATGTCACCGAGTTTGACACAAAAAATTCAGACGGATTAATCGAGGAATAGTTAGATTGACGACTATTATAGTTTGTTTCGCTGTTTTTAGTTTTTAATTTTTAAGTATTTTTATAGTTTTGATTATACACTTGCATTCGAAACAACAATAATGCCTATAAATCCTATAATTAGACGTATGAAGGGTTTGCCCTCCGATCTCTTGGCAGCTGAGGGGCTCATGTATCAGGATTGGCATGCCATAACTTCTTGTCAACGAGCTTGTACCACACGGCTTGGCATTGCCATCCAACGAGAACAAGAATCATACATGACAAAACACCCAGAGGTAAAAGGACGAAATAAGATAAATACTGTACTTATTTTGCAAAACTTTAGCTTTTTATGGAATAAGCCGGCAAACGAGCAGACGCATCACCTGGTGGTAAGTAATTGTTGCCGGCCATGGACACCCGAAACATCAGAGTCATACAAGATGTGTTGCTGGCCTTTTGGGAGATAAGAATTTGAGGATTGTTGAAGATTCGGGATTGGGGATTGGGGATAATTGGGCCTCCATTTACCTCAGCCACGACGAAACATAACGCTTCGGTTATTTCATGTCTGTTTTCTGTGAGGCCGTGGTATCATGACCCTTCCACGCTTAAGCTTAATAAAAATTAAAGTTCAGCTCCTATGGCCTCGTTTACGGAGGCGCGAATTAAACGTTTGATATACATTGCTCACACATTGGAGTTTGCACGAGGGATGACGCAGTCTATAGCGGCAATGTACGACGAAATCAAATGCACCACCTTTCTGTAAAAACTCTGTTAGTGTTAAGAAAACATAAACCTTTAATGTGTGTAATTCTCACCAAAGCTGTAATAAGCAGCTATTTTGGTCAATCGATAGAATATTTGCGTATGAAGTCATTTTAGACATTAACGAAGTTACATTAATATTAATTTTCGCACTAGAATTAGTTAATATTAATTCTCGCAGTAGAATTATTTAGGTACGATATTTATTTATTTCCAACTTCCTCTTTAGATTTTAGCATTGCTCAAAATATTCATAGCCAAAATGACACAAAGAGGAAAAAGGAAGGATTTTCAAAAGGATGCTGCATTGAATTTTACAAGACCCTTTGCGGAGTTAGATGAAGAGCTCAGAACATTTCTTGAGTCGCCGGAAGACGGACCTTACGTTAACATGGTAAAATAATGGATCCTAAAATTAATTAATTAATTATAATTAGTTTTAGTGTTATAGCTGTAACCCACAATACTGATAGTGCTTATTTGTTTTCAAAAGGAAGATAGAGAGTTCTACGAATTTGATGACGAAGACTTCCAAAGCGATCTGAAGAAAATCCTCTGTCAATATTATCCACCAACACCTTGGGACGTCCGCACTCCTCCCAGGAGTCCCGCACCCACACCATCGTCCTCCTTCATTTCGATACAAACCTCAGAAATTACTCTTCCAACACCAGGTGAGTACGAATATTATCATCTTCGTCAGCCCGTTTCCGTCCATTGCTGAACAGTATTTTATCCATATCAGGATATCATTAAAACATAATTATTACCAACATTCACAGAGCCCGTGCCGACTCCCGAGCCGACCACTTCTCAAATATTTTACCGAATGGTCTCCAACGCTGTCGATAAAGCAGTTTATACGCAAGTTAACGAGGAAGCTATACTCTATGACACAGCCTATGTGGAACTAATGAAAGCAGTAGAAGAAGCTATGGAGATACCTGTGAGGGATATACGCATCGACATCGCAGAACTATTCCGTGAAGCTTACCATATGTTTGAAATTAACATCATTGAAAAAGAGAAATTCGGTAATGAATGCACATTGTTATTCGAGTTTACTATTACAGCAACAATTACTACACCTATTTACTGGTGCACGTGATTCCTTTTTTTTCGACATCTATTATAATACCTTTCATGTTGTCATCCAGAACAAACATCAAATTAATAAATTCTTTGTCCTCGTCATCAACGGAGAAATTATTGATATTAAACTGTCAAATACCAAGCGGTCACCGGTGACCGCAACCTATTGTTCTTTAATTGTGTCTATAAAACCGGTACTCGACGAGTTAATTTCTTCCGTTTGTTTGTGAATCTAAAGATCATTTTATTATTAAAAAGCAGCAAGTTCTTACTTCTAGCTTTTTACACCGTTGTGTACCAATAGATCAACTATCAAGTTGCCTATTAAAGGCCCATGCCAAAGCCAAGGCCCATGAAAATACTATTACCAAAATTAAACTCTAATAAATCTATATATATAAAAGAAAGTCATGTTAGTTACACTATTTATAACTCAAGAATGGCTAAATCGATTTGGATGAAAATTGGTGGGGAGGTAGCTTAGAACCAGGAGACGGACATAGGATGCTGTTTACCCAATTCTTTTTTTTGCTTTTTACCGAAAATCAAGAACGGGAACGGGAAATATCGGGATTGCGCGTACGAAGTCGCGGGCAGAAGCTAGTAATTATATAAAAACGTCTATGGACACGATTACACATTTAAATAATTCGCTATAGTGTCCTGTCTGTTTATACTCTTACATTTCTTAAATTCCCAGTCATTTAACATGTTTGGTGGTACATGTATCCCTCTCCATATTCCATACCGGTGGCAAAACTGAACTAAATGGAAAACTTTCAAAAATATTATTAATTAAAATCGTTGCGCGCATGGTGATGGATTTTTACGGTTGAAATAGCAGAAAGTTCATTAAATTTGTAACATCCAAATATTTTTCGTGTATCAGTTTCGTATGAATAACTGTAATTATTTTCATAATTACAGTGCATACGATATGCATGCTTTGAGTCGGTTTGTTTGCATTAATCTGCCTGTACTGCAGGTATTCGTCATCATTCAGGTGTAGTATTACGTCTATTGAAAAAGCTTTAACTAAATAGAACCCACCCTGTTCATCATATTTTGTGGAATTGTATAGCAAACGTAAAATTAAATTTATGTTTACAGCTGCTGCAATCGCTTGGGAAAAGCGAATGAGGAAGAAATTAAAGAAGTCACTCAGGCGACAAAAAAATTTTAAAGGTTATTATAATTTCTGACCTTCTTTGTCTTTAATGATAATTGTCTATCAAATACAATGACAATGACATGTCAAAGTCAACAATTTTTGATCCCGATTCTTGTTTCCGAAATTAAATAATTAAATAAGATAATATAAAATCCGTTGTGTCCCTTCTAACATTAACAAAATAACCAAAACAAGGTTTGAGAGTGAACAATACTAAGATGAAATAATATAAAAACCTAATAGGTTAGAAGAAAAATTATTCGCTTGTTTTAATGTGTTAGTATTATTGATGATAAAGGTAATACTTATTTTACGACTATTTCCTATTGCTAACACAAATGAGATATTATTTTGGGTACCTACATTTAATTTGGTAAGTTTTACTGATTTAATTATATCACCAGGATATGAAACGCCATCAACACCAAAAAGCAAAATATCGTCACACGAGAGCTATAAGAGGCCTCCCCCGAGGCCTTGCGAGTGTCAATCATTGGCCAACTACAATCGATATGGAAAGGTAACACAGAGTAACAATTTTGTAGTTTGAGTGGTGCAGATTGACAAGTAAACCGACGAGTTACCTGTGACTAATCTATAGGCGCTGCCCACGGATACCTCCAACTTACTGACTTTTGGTGACTTGAGGATAAGGATTGCGGCTACAGTGCCCTCGGTTATAAGGCAAAACACAACGTGAACGTTGTTTCACACCATTTTTTATTACATCGCATTATCATTCCAATTGAGCCGACTAATTCGCCAAAGCATCACCTCACGTCGCATGAAAAGGAATTTGATAAAAATAGAGTTTAAACAGTTAGTAATAAATTGTGATTGTCCACACTTACTGCGTGCTAACTTTGTAATTCAGAACTTATCCAGGTTTCCGGTCCAATAAACGTCGACAAAATAAATACATAGCTTGTATCTATACACAAAAGAAAGTTAAAAATTGTAAGTACCTTAAGCTCATTAAATCAAACTGCTTACAGGACCGTTTCGGCATCTACCTGCCGCGGGAAGAACAATTTAGCACAAAGAATATAACTACTACACCTGCTTGTTCTTATGCAACAGTCGATGGAGTTTCTTCTGGCGTAGATATCGACATCAAATCAGCAAGCAAGAAAAGTGTGCCCCGCTCTATTGCTTCAAATAAAAGTATCAATAAGCGAGCCAAAACGCCCACGTCTGATGATGAAACGAAAGTGCTCGACACAGAGAATGAAGATGGCAAGACAGATAAGACACCAACAGTTTCAGAAACGGCGGATACTATCTAAACCAACTCTAAGATAATGAAAAATGATGAGGACCCTAAAAATGTTTCTGAACAACATACCGACAAGCCTGGCAAGCATAAGGATTGTAGTATATTAACTAAAAATCGCGGGTTACTCACGTGAATATACTGAGAAAAGCTCTGCTAGAGTAGGCACGCTGCTCATGAGGAAGAACCCCTCTGTGGTTCAAAACTAGTAGAGCTTTTCTCAGTATATTTACGTGAGCAACACGCGATTTTAAGTGTATTTCGTATGTCTCACGATAGTTATTTTAAAAACAGTGTAGGTCTTTGAACCTTATTTTATAAATTTTACGTCTCTATACAACTATGTCCTGTTAAATTTTCTGTATTAATAACATTAATGTATTGGTTCCTTTATAAGATCTTCAAAATAAAAACGGTGTTAACCATCAAAGTTACTGGTAGTCTTTCTTCCTCCTATATCAAGTTCAACGTTTTACACTACAAAAGACTACATGACGTTCAGCTGTACGAAGTTATGTTAGTTACAGACGGATACGAATATTATAGCCATTGTCACATTCGTTATCATGACGATAATTATTAAACTAACTTGTAACTAACAAACATACACACAATTGCATTTATTATTATAAATCTTTACATGTATTATAAAACTCTTCCGTTACTCGACTGACTGACTGACTGACTGACTGACTTGACTGACTGACTGGCAGATAACGGACAGCTGAAACTACTGGTTATAAAGAGCCAAAACTTGTGTTCATTGAGAGGTGGGGGGGTAGCATTAAGTGGAGGTGGAAAAGGGGTTACGTTAATTGAAATCTTTATACCTCTATATATAATTCTTCTGTGAGTGTGTGTGTCACTGAACTTCTCTCAAACGACTGGACCGATTTTGATGAATTTTTTTGTGTGTTCAAGGGGATCTGGGAATGGTTTAGATTCACAAAAGTCGATGTTTAGGTTATTTATCCTAAACAGCTGAATTAATTTGAATGAATTTTTGTTTATACATTCAAGTGGATATGCAGGACAACGTCTGTTGGGTCCGCTAGTATTTTACCACTTTTTATGAAACCACTGAACCGGTTATAACTAAATTCGTTTGAGATAAATTATATTCTAAAACATGAAAAAGTCATAAAAAATACTCTTTATCCCGACCCACCGCCCGACCAGAACCAGGCTCGAGCGTACGGCTTAAGGAGCTATCAGACCACCATAGATGGGGCCCAACAGGGCTGATGCCGATACGGAGCCGCGGAAGCTTAAGGGTTGCCGGGCTCCGGCTCGAAGTGCAGGAGACGGAACGGGGTGGTTTTTAGTCAGTAAGAGTCTGACACTCCCTCCCGCCTCACCCGGGCGGGAGAAGTCATTGGATGATATTCCCCGCTCAAAAAAAAGGCTTGGTTGTACCAACTTACTAGGACAATAACAAACGTCAAAATTTATGTTACAAGTATTGCAGATGTAGCCAAATGCCATTTAGCGCTTGTCTACATGTAGAATAGAAAACCAAATTATATGGAATTGATGTAAATTTTGACAAGCGCTAAAGTGCCAAACGCCACATAACGCACCCTGAGAACGAAAGTGACTCAACTCAAAATTTTTGGGAATAGGCGAAAATGTGTCCGTCGTATTGTGTCATTTTCTGTTCATTTTACAATAACACTAAAACATGGTAACAAAAGTTATGAATTTCTTTTGAAATATATTTGTCTTGTCATGACAACTCACGGTGCAACACTGATTTCGTCACTTTGATTCGGGCGCGGGGGGAGGGAACGGTTGAGGGACAAAGAGACCGAAATATATCTCTATCCTTTTCTTACCTTAATTGGCCAGTTTTCGAATTTATGTATGATGGAGTATACTTTTTTGAGTCATTCTGTATACTTAACTCATTTAACCAAAATGTTGAATTCGGTCACTTTCGTTCTCAGCGTGCGATAAGTAGCGTTTGGCACTTTTTCTGTAGACAAGCGCAGAAATCAAAATGTATGAGGATGACACTGACAAGTATCAAAATTTACGTCAATCCTTACTTATATTATAAATCGGAAAGTGAGTTTGTTTGTTTGTTCCGACTTCACAACGTAATTACTGAACCGATTGCTTTGAAATTTTGCAGAGGTAAAGTTAGAAGTCTGGATTAAATAATAGGGAAAACAAAAGTATTAGTATAGATGGCGCTGTGTGTATTGGTATATGTCACATAGGCTACTTTTTATCCTTTTGTGACGCGAGCGAAGCCGCGGGTAAAAGCTAGTGCTATATAATTTGGTTTTCTATTCTACAAGTAGACAAGCGCTAAATGGCATTTGGCTACAGCTGCAGGTAACATCAAAAAGACGTTGCATCAATTGACAAATAATCTTTAATTTTTCCATGTTTAAAAATATTACCCACGTCAAATTTGGGGAAAATCGGGAAAATCACACCTCATTTGACTTGTAATACTACTTTTAACTTTGACAAAGCTTCTGAATTCGCTGGTGTCACACATTTTGCTGTAACTGTTAAAAGTCAGCGTTACCCACAGTTACTGTTAAGTATGACATTAACTACTACTATACCTACTTTCTGTGGTGCAACTAAGCCTTAGTTTACACTCATTCCTACTGCGAGAACTTAAAATGCTTTTATACCATTTTTTCCAATTTTTACGAAGCTTTCTGCTTGTCCATTACTAGGAGGGTTGTAAGGGGGTGATGTAAAATGAGTAATTCCATTTAATAAACAACATTTTGTGGATTTAGCGGATGTAAATGCAGTACCGTTATCGCTAACAATTACGTGAGGTAATCCAATCCAATCTAAATTTAGACATAAAATCGTAGTTTTTCAACAACAGTCGCCGAAGCGGTAGAGCTGCTCACGTCATACACATCTTACCATTTAGAGTAAGCATCTATCACGACCAAGAACATGATTATTCAACGGGCCGAGGAAGTCTATATGTAGTCTATGAAATTCATCTGCTCTGGCAGATATTCCACGTCGTTATTCCACGCGGTCAAAGTCATGGAGTCAAAAGGTAGAACCAAAATTGAGATACATATTTTTCATTGAAATTATTTTTATTTTTTATGAGGTAGGTAGGATATATTGTATTTAGTGCACACACCTAAAATGCAAATTCTAGGGAAGGGATGAGGCAGGTAAACGAGACTAATGTACGGCACCTCAACCTTCCACCACTCGCATCAAATGGCTAACCACACGACACTGATGACGTCATACTAGCCACAACACGACATGCATTGTATACGCAATTCTTGATTTTCCGATTCTCCTTAATAAGCAAGGTAATAATTAAAAGAGGCGTAATAAAACTAAGACATTTATTAATTAAATAACAACAAAATTAATTGTAAGAAATGCCTCTCCATTGTTATTAAGTAAAAACCAAATAAAAGCGTATAAGATGGGTTTTAACAACAAGTTCAAAATATAATAACATTTATTGAAGTGTTAGTTAAAACGGTAACGACAAATTTTTCAATACATCTAAGTACCTTATTCGTATATCGATAAGGAAAACCAATTGAACATTATAGTAACAAATATTTACTGCTGCTGGAACAGTCCTGTAGCCTTCTTGCAACCAGCCTCTGTCTTGTCTGCCTCAGACAACAGAATAACCTCGAATGAATAGGGCCGGAATGGCCACCCACCACCAGCATAAAATTTACTCATGAACTCCACCCTGTAAAAAGAATGTGTCATAAGTACAGCAGTAAATAGAGGTATAATCACTTGCATATTATCATGGTCGCGGTGGTCCGGAGATTAAGACGCCCGCTTCTCTTGTATGAGAGTCCGGGTTCAACGGCAAGTACCATAATAGGGTAGGTGACTTATTTTTATTTTAATGTCCGTCTGGTAGATTATTTTAAAATATTAGAAACGTATTTTTTATTTTCATACATTAACTAACACTTAAGACGATATATTGATTTGAAATGTCGCGTGACGTCACTTCTATGTACATTTTATACGTAGAAATGACGTTTTAGCCCCCACTCCTAAACTCTAAGTATTGTTTTATTATTAAACAAAATAAAAAATATGTGTCTAATATTTTTTCATTACCTAACTGACGGACTAATTAGATTTTAATTTTCATACTCTGTCATCATCCCTATTATATACTTTCTCAGCTTTGATTATATAATGTCTAGATGGAGTGTCAGTTCACGAAAAGCAGCCCAAAAGTTTGCAGTGAACTGTTAACTGCAATGCATTTTCCCGTCTAGTAGTACCAATTGTGGCACCTAGGTTTCGCTACATGTACCTATGCACTCTACAAAATAAATTTGTAAACAAAAAAAGTATACTGCAAAGATACTTTTTTTGCTCCGTGCCACTGCTCCGTGAAATTGTGCTAAAATTATAAATGACGATAAAAAAGTACTAAACAGATCACTTATCCATCGCTAAGTAATTAAAAATTACATTATTCAATTTATGTTTTTGACCTAACTAATTGCCGCCATTACCTTCTCATAGGAATAAAGAGGGAAAAATTGACAAAAAATCTCATTTACTTGAAATTAAAAATAAAATATGTAATATTTTTATTATTTATTAAACTAGCACTTAGGTCATGCTTTAATGTAGGTACTATTTATTGTAACCGACTTAAAAAGAAGGTTGGTTTCGATCCTTCTTTTTAAGTTCGAATCGATCAAAGTTATATTTTTTGATGGAAAGGGTGCAACTCCAATAATATTGTATAAATTGGATTTATACAAATAATGTAAAAAATGTCTTAATATGAATAATTAATTATTCTTTTCATACGGAAAATAAATTTGTTCTAACATATAAAAACAACTTTTAAATCAAATTGAAAGAGATGGTTACATTTTTTTTATTTTACTTCTAAATGGATAAAAATAAACATTTATGCGATATATAAATTTGATGGGAGAATTTTCATCGTAGCTGGTATCATTTTTGCTCCGTGTAAACCACAAACCGCACGCACACATGCAAGAAATTTTGGAACGTCATTTTTGTTGCTATTGTATGGTGATATCTCTATTTGAGGTAGAATCAACGTTTCTAAGATTATCTAGACACCACTGACAAATGGTGAAGGAAAACATTGTGAGGCAACCTGGGTGTGCACGACGGCAATACTAGGTCGCAAGCCGCCCGCGACGTGTTCCGAACGTGTCCGAACCATGACGAAAAGGCAAGTTCAGACACGAACATCAAAGGCGCGCGGCGGCGATCCTTTGTTCCGCGCCGCCGCTGCTTGGTTTGAACTTGCCTTTGAGCATGTACAAACATGACTCAACGTCGCAGAGCGGCCGAGTCGCGTGCCCCGATCAACAGGAATTATCCTGTCCGCGCGCCTCGCATATAAAAGGACTGTACCCGGCGAGGCGCATCAGTTGTCAATGAATAGTCAATGAGTTATCAATGTATTGTCAGTGTATGTAGTCGTTATGTAAAAAGTCGATCATAGCCAGTCGATCGTAATATTGTCAATTTCATCTCCACTAGTGTTGTTAACATTATCATCGTAATAAAGTATATCAGTGTACAAGAGTTCTCCAGTTTCATTATACAGTCCACTTGCTCTCCACAAGGACCTAGCTCGTCGAGGACTGATCCACAGCCTGATCCCTCCGAGCCCGCACATTTTCTGGTCCTTCGAAGCCGAATAAAGTTCTAGCAAGATGGTGTTAACACGCAGCCGTAGTGGAGAATCCAGGACAGAGCAGACCCAGCAAGAGCTTTCAGTGACCGCCGGACCGGGTGCCAGCAGCTCGGCACCAGAATCGAGCTCGGTCCGAGTGACGGACACAGGAAGCGGGTCTACGACTACCTACATCGACGCAACGCATGGTACGCTCAAGCCCAGCGATACCAGGTCACGCCGTTCTACAGACTCGAAAAGGAAGCGCCTCGCAGAGCTGGAGGCCAGAAGACGGCTGGCTGAGATGCAAGTTAAGCTGCAAGAAATACAGCTGCAGTGCACCATAGCCGAAGCAGAGTCGAGTGACGACGAGGAGTTGGTGGACGACCTCGCCTCCGTGAGGATTGGAACGTGGCTAGCGCGACCCGCGCCGCCACCCGGAGGCGAGGCTCGGCCGCCGCCACACGACGTCAGCGGCGGGAGCATCAGCAGAGACGCAGCCCACGCAGCGACAACGACGGCGAGCGGCGCCCCGGCGGGCGCGCAACCGCCGCGAGATGACGATAGCTACAGAAAAGTGTGTGAATATGTGTGTTCGAAATCAAAGGGCAATATCGCGAGTGAAGTGTCACACGGTAACGTTAGTGATAAAGTGATAGACGTACGAACACTCGCCGCGGCACTAGCGCAGGTCATGCGCAGTTCCAGAGAGCCCCCGAAGTACATGCAGCGGCTACCATTCTTCGACGGAAAACCCGGTGAGTGGATAGCTTATAAGGCCACGTATTGTGACTCACACACGTACTTTTCTAGCGTAGAAAATGTAGCTAGGATTAGGATAAGCCTCAGAGGCGCCGCAAAGGAAGCTGTAGGGAGTTTATTGTTTAGTCAATCTGACCCTCAGGTCATTCTAGATGCACTAGAAAGACGTTTTGGTAGGCCCGAGGCTTTGATAATGACAGAATTAGATAATGTAAAGTTATTACCTAGATTAAATGATAACCCTAGGGATATTTGTATATTTGCTAGCCGTATTGCAAACACGGTAGGTACGATAGAAGCACTAAATAGAATTCAGTATTTACATAGCCCCGAAATGTCGCGTAATATCATAGAAAAGTTAACGCCAATATTAAGAAATAAATGGTATGATTACGCGGCTAATAGAAAGCATGAAGATATTCCCGTATTGAAGCTATTATCTATGTTTGAATGAAGAGGCCGACAAGTGTAGCGCGTACGCGCTGCCGGAGCGTGTTAGTGATAACGCCATTGATGTACGACAACGGCGCAGAGTTGAGCGCACGTTCATCGTGAGTAAAAGGACATCAAGTGAACTATGCCCGGCATGCAAGCAACACGGCCACAAATTACCGGACTGCAATAAATATAAGCAGCTAGACATAGATACTCGGTGGAATATAGCAAAAAACAATAACATGTGTTTTAGATGTTTACAAATAAACATAGAAGATATGTGCAAAGCGCCTATTTGTGATGTCAAGGGATGCAACATGAAACATCACAAACTGTTGCATAAAGAGCGTGATGATAAGACGACTCACAACACACCGCCGCACGCGCCGCCATCAATGACGCCTGTTATCGTACACGAATCCGTGACGTCAGCGCGCGAGACAGTCTCAACGACTTCGCCTCGGAATCGCCGCGCGTACTTGAAAATAGTTCCTGTGACGTTACGCGGACCACGTACAAGTATAGACACATACGCCTTGTTAGACGATGGGAGTACAGTCACCTTGATAGACGCGACAGTGGCAGACATCCTAGGCGCAGATGGACTAGCTAGTCCTATGCAGATACAAGGCCTAGGTACAGAAGTCAAGCATGAGCAAAGCCGCACTGTTAGTCTCCACATACAAGGCAAGTACCACAGCGTCCCGCAGAAGATAGAGGCAGCGCGCACTGTAAATAGGTTAGAAGTCATGACGCAGACTGTACAAGCCGAAGACTTAAACAATTGTAGGCATTTGAACGATATAAGAAGCACTCTTGTTTATGACCGCGCGCGACCGATGATTTTAATAGGTCAAGATAACTGGCATTTGTTAGCAGCCACAAAAACGCGCACAGGTGCGCGCGATCAACCGGTAGCATCATTCACGAAACTCGGTTGGGTATTACATGGATGTCATTACTCAGTAAATAAAGACAGAAGAACATTTTGCGGCAACATTACTACTAGAGAAAATCCAGAACCAGTTGAAGAAACCAGTAGAAACTTCAAAATGAATAGCCCAGTTAAGTACATACCTACACCTGCTGCTTACGCTCAACGCGCCAAAGAACAAAAGGACAAGCATGTGCAAGCCGAAACCGTATCAAAGAGAACCGCCGCCATACAGAATAAAAAAGCGGCGGCCGGCAACAGCGCGTTATCAGTGCTAAGTACATGTGACGCAAGCGCACGTGTTTTACGTTTGCGCGGGAGAATCACAGCGGTGGCAAACGTGAATGCAGAATAAAACACCCTGTTCTATTCGAAAATACAGGTACAAGAAGTTAGGTATCACGTATTTGCATAAACAATTGCACAATAGCGGGAACAACATAGGACAGCGTCATAGGATTAAATTTGTACCCATAGATAGGCACAAAGACGAAGGATATGGAGTCTTATTTACTTGTTTATCGTATCTAGGTCGATATTCATAGGTATAAGTGTATAGGTATAGATTAATTTATAGGCATAGATATAGGTTAGCTTATAGGTATAGGTTAGTCTCAGAGATATGTAGTAACAACGCTATCTCTTAGAAAGCGGCAGATAGGGACCTAGGTATAAGTGCCTTAAGCGCTTTAGGAGTGAGTCCAATGCGCGGTCTATAAGCTGGAAGCTTATACCACCGGTGTCGCCGTTTTGGCAAGATGGGTACGTGAATACCAGCCGGTCCTTCAAGACCGGCGGGAGCCCTACGGCAGCGACACCCCCCAAGGTTGGAGGCGTCATCGTGATCTCCGACCCTTACCTCCCACGCAAGTTGGTCCAGAGGAAGGGTGATACAGGTGCTGCCAGACACAGATGAAGAGGTACGAGTAGACATCATGAACAGACGACTCGTACTCCGAAGACCGGCGAAGCGCATTGTCGTGCTCACCATGGAGTCGCCTGATGGCGACGGCGGGAGAAATGTGCACGACGGCAATACTAGGTCGCAAGCCGCCCGCGACGTGTTCCGAACGTGTCCGAACCATGACGAAAAGGCAAGTTCAGACACGAACATCAAAGGCGCGCGGCGGCGATCCTTTGTTCCGCGCCGCCGCTGCTTGGTTTGAACTTGCCTTTGAGCATGTACAAACATGACTCAACGTCGCAGAGCGGCCGAGTCGCGAGCCCCGATCAACAGGAATTATCCTGTCCGCGCGCCTCGCATATAAAAGGACTGTACCCGGCGAGGCGCATCAGTTGTCAATGAATAGTCAATGAGTTATCAATGTATTGTCAGTGTATGTAGTCGTTATGTAAAAAGTCGATCATAGCCAGTCGATCGTAATATTGTCAATTTCATCTCCACTAGTGTTGTTAACATTATCATCGTAATAAAGTATATCAGTGTACAAGAGTTCTCCAGTTTCATTATACAGTCCATTTGCTCTCCAAAAGGACCTAGCTCGTCGAGGACTGATCCACAGCCTGATCCCTCCGAGCCCGTACACTGGGCTTATAACCATACACACCGACCCGCATTGAACAAGCGTGGTTATTATTGCTCAAATCTTCTCCATGTGAGAAGAGGCCCGGTAGTGGCCACTTATCAATCTATTGATGTTGTAATTAATAATTCTATTGACATTAAGTAATAATAATCAATCCAAATCATTATTTCCAAATATGTTATAATTTTGAGTGCTGGCAAAAGCTAACATAGCGTTTAAAAATATTATTTAAGACCCTAATATTATCAATATTTACAATTAATAAATTAATTTGAATTTGAATGTTTGATATCATCAATATAAATAAGAAAAATTGCAACTGCACTGAATACACTGACTGCAACTTCATAGATGCTCGCGACAGTCTTAACGAACAAAAAAAACAATACTAAGTGCAAAAAATATCAACAGGTCTAACCCATAACGTGGTATAATCTTGACGTAGATTGTGATCTACGATTATTGTTCCGGGTCTGGGTGTTGTATGCACGTGAAATTATGTGTTTGTAAAAGCATCAAAGAAAATTTTAGTGTTAGGGGGCAACGTATATTTGTGCATACATACATAAACAATGATAAATTAAATAATAGTATATTATACAGTTCAGCTTACCAGTGCAATCGGAGGCAATGCAGAAAAGCGGATAATCCTTCCATTACTACGAGAATTGATAGAGTGAAAGCAGCCCATAATGAAAATACAATGACAATTTTTATTGCACCCATAGGAGTGCGTTCATGCAGTGCCATTTTTGCTAAGACCATATTCCACAGCATTTCGGAAAGTTCTGAAACGTAAGTAAATAACCTGCCTTACTTCTTTGTATTTAGAATAATAAATTTAATGACACAACTTTTTTCTTTCAATTTTCCAAAATAAAAGTAGCCCATGTTACTCCTTAGTACATCAGCTACCTGGCAACGAAATTTCCGTCAAAATCGGTCCAGCCATTGAAGAGATTATTCAGTACAAACAGACGGACAAAATTGTAATTTTTTTGTTATGTGTATCGTATCTATATTTATATGCATGTAGAAAAAAGCGGTTATGTTAATACTATACACAAACACTCCCAATTTTATTTATCTGTATACATATCAGACAAGCATGCACAAAGCATGTCTGGTCACTTGTTTTTGAAACAGTAAAAACGAAAGAATCGGTACAGAATCTTGCAGTCGCTTTACCTAAAGGTACCTTGTTAACATTGAAGAATAAAAACTATCTGTGGCACAATTTGCATTATATCGGTACTTACGCGCATGGGCTAGGGATAGCGCCCAGAGTCGAAGATAAGAAGCTGTGTGAGATATAGTGCTGAGCACGAACTCGATGGTGTGCACTCCTTGGTGAATCATCAGCTCACCAACTGACTCAGAGCATTTCTCTACCTCCGCTTCCATCGCTGCCAGAATTTTGGGATCTGGATTTAAGTCCCTTTTGTAAGCCAATAGTGCAGCCTGAAAATCACATAGTATCAGAATGATAACGTCTAAATATATACGGCTAGACTTACTACCACCCCGCTCCTACTCCTGCTCTTCGAGCCGGAGCCCCGGCTACCCGTTATCCCTTCTGTGACGTGGTATCAGGCAACAGCCCTACTGGGCTCACTATGGTAGTTTGATGGATCTTTGAGGCGCGCGCGAAAAACGACGACGCGCCGTTCGCATGGGTCTGATTCTGATCGGGCGGCGAGCTACCCGTTAAGCTAGCTAGCTTCACCGTTTGCGGGCCCCACTGACGGTGGCCGGAGATCGTCGCACGATGTCCGACGTCCGGAGTGTCTCCAGCGACGGCTCGGGCGTGAGGACGACTAGACTTGCTAGTATTTACTGTTAAGTGTTGGTTTACTTTAAAAAAAATCGCCTTGCGTGATGTATAATATGTTTAAATCATAATAATATGTAAACAATTATGGTTATCTACCACAGCAACAACTCTCTTCTTTTTATTGGTGATTATCTTATATACTGGAGTTCCTAAAAGTAAAATCGGCACGCATAATAGAGCAGCAGCCACCAAACTCATTTGAAATGTTCTCTGACTAGGAAATATATAGCCCTCCTTGCATCCTTCATTAGCTGGTTTAGTTTCAGACATGAGCACCATGTCAATAAACAATAACAGAATCTGAGGAGCGCAGGCTGTATTCCTTTCTTGATCCGCTGTAATAAAAATTAGAATACCGAATAATAATGACGTAAATATCTTGATTTAGCTCATGAGAATGTCGACATGTGGGATGTAGAATCAGCAATCATTGTAGCTCAAAATCGCTCAATGACCCCGACTAAACATACTACTCTTTTATTAAAAAAAAGATTGATTACTATTATGTACCTTACAAACATAGAATTTCGTATGATTGTCGTCATTAAATCAAAAACTGGCGAAATACAAACTAAATTCTATTTATTTATCAATCCTGCCAGATAGACTGACACTCGATCAACACCAGAGTAAGCTGACGTTAGATCTTTAGATGGTTGGTTCAAGGACCTGATGCAGAAAGCAGTGCTTCAGAAAATGGTTCTCTGAAGCCTCGGGGCAGAGCCTTTTAAACGGGGAAAATCATCCAACAACTTCTCCCGCCCGGGTAAAGCAAGAGGGAGTGTCAGAGTCCTACTAACTAAAAACCACCCTGTTCCTACTCCTGCACTTCGAACCGGAGCCCCGGCAACTTGTTAAGACCTCCGCGGTTTCATGTCGGCATCAGCCCTATTGGACCCCATCTGTGGTGGTCTGATGGCTCCTTGAGGCGCGCGCGGAACACGATGCGCCGTACGCTCGGGCCTAGTTCTGGTCGAACGGCGAGTTACCCGTGCTTGCCGTCCGTAGACCCGTGCTTATGCTGGCTTGCACCGGCCGGCCGCTGGTAGGGCGTGAGGAGTTTCGTTCCCTCTCGCGCCCTGCCTCCTCCTTAGGTAGCATGACTGTTTCCCGAAAGGAGGAGACGGCACCCTAGTCCCCCTGCTCCGTACCAAAGCCGGACGCGAGAGGTCGCCGTCGCCGATCAGATCCTGGGCTGAGCACCGCTGTGTTTGAGAACGACGGTGTGCACCGCTGTGGTGCTCAGCCCTCGCAGGACACACCGCCATCGAATGCTCCACCGTATCCTCCGGGCGGTCCGCGCAGTAATGACACCTGGGCGTCCCACCCTAATCTGAAACAGGAACCTACCGAAACTTCTGTGTCCGGTAAGCACCTGCATCGGGCGGTAGGTGAGAACGCCGTAGCGTCTTTCAAGCCACTCCTCAAAGAGGGGATTTACCACTGCAATGACAGCGAGCCCAGCCCTCGGTTACGATATGACTCTACTCTCTACATCCTGTATTTAAAAGTCGTCAATTCAATATCGTACCTACCTACCAATTAGATTATCAAAATCCTTACACCCGAGGACGTTAAAAACAAGGCGGACATTGTCTCTTGAAACAACGACTGTGGCACCTAGCTACTATAGACTTACACGCAAAATACACACACATTACACAAAGGGCATATGTCACGTGACATGCCTGTCATTACACTTCATACATCACGGTGTTGCAACTACACGCACACATAAAAACACAACATACATTTTGGTGCTTCAATCATTTTTAAGTTTACGTCCGCATTTTTTTCAACGTCCGCCCTTGCCTACACAATACACATAAAGGGCCAATACACGAGTATTAAAAAGTTTATTATAACTAACACATCGACACGTATCAGTACCAGAGACTATTTTAAAAACTAAAAATGCAATCCAACTATATAGTCGTCGCGAATGTAATTGCCGAGTACGATATATTCGAATCCCAGGCCAGACAAAGTTTTATTGGTTTTCTCGATTGCGAATTTCTCTTGATTTGTGCATGGTAGAAATATTGCGTGTATAGGAATAAACTACAGAAATACATAACGTTACATCGTGCTGCTGATTCAAGTTTTAAATAGTTAGTTGTTAACGTCACCTCGTTGATTTAATACCAATTTTTTACCAGTTTGGTTATGGGATCCCTAAAATAGTTATTAAGCATGGGTACTATATATTAGTGGGTAAGCAAAAATGTACTTCTATGTCCTTTTTCCAACTAGGCCGACCTCTAGCTACTATTGTACTAGTGGAAAAATTACGCTTAACTATGGATTTTACTCACGTTCTTTGGGACCATACAAGAACCATTTCATGTAAATCATAACTACTAGCCAGAAGAAGAGTAGCGTTAGGAACATTAACTCCGGAAAAAACTGGAGAAATATCGAATATGTACGTTTGAAATATCTAGAAAAAAATACCAATTCACAATATTACTTACCAAAAGAAAAAAAGAAATTATGTACGTCTGTACGTTAGGTATTGGAACTCATACTTTTGAAAAATATTCAAAAGGCACACATATGTACCTATGGACAATCTACATATCAATATAAGGTAAAACAGATTCAGGGGCATACCTAGGTAAATCGGGACAGGTACCTTTAATAATACCCATCTAAACGTCCTACACATAATATGACCATGGTAGTCCAAATAAATCATTGGAACGTGCAAGTATGATGCCAATGCTGAATTTATTGTATTTTGCTTATGGGATAGGGCTCAAATAAGTACCTACGCGGTTCAGCTGGTTGTAAGCGATGCAAAGCACCGCCCCGTGCACGCAACACCAGAAAAATTACTATTTTCTTAAAGGTGTGGAAGTTATTTCGATTCGAAAATATTGAAGACACGTGTTCATTCCACAGTTTTGCTGTGTGAATCAGACAATTTCAAGAAAATCGGACTATTGTCATCAGAAGTGAGTGGTTATGACTGACAAATACTTAGTGAACACAAGGTGGGCATACTCACCGATAATTAAAAAAGCTGAGAACAATACCGAACATCATGTGTATGATTCCAATAATGATCGAAGATTTCATTTTGAACGAATTTTCGAACATGATTTTATTTTTCGCCAACTGCAACAATTAATAATTATTAAATGCAAGTTAGTAAATATAACTTTAATAGCTATGAGAAGTAAGCTGATAGTAGCATAAGGTTACAGATTCCTTTTACGATTGTTTTGAGTATACTACTATATCCTTGGATCTTCATTTTCCGAACCCAGTGTGGTCCCTCAGTTCACATACACATGCCGTCGCTGCAGGTGGAAGAAAAGGTGTGCAAGTCTCGGCAGAGGGCGCGCCAGGCGCGCAAACTCGAGTAGACTGTAGCTGCGCGAGAGTCGCCGCGTTATGTGTTAAGTATAGAAAGCTGGTCATGAATATAAGTCCGTGGCGTGGCTTGAAATTAATCGAAGTTCCAAGCAGAAACAGTAACTTTAATTAATCAATAATTATTCAGTAATTGATAATTATTGTTACAAATTAATCGACGTAACTGTTTATACCATTATAATGATAATGAACTTGTATACTCACTGCCCATATCGGATCTTTTCCATATATATATGGTTCTCGAGTCTCTAGAGATGGGTCTAAATCTATATACTCATCTCTAGACAATTCATCCACATTCTTCAGATTCACCCAGTAAGAATTACTAAGCAAGAAAGCCTTTGAAAAGATGTCGTTGTAACAAAATCCAGTAAAAATGCTGAACAATCCCATCAAGAGTACCACGTAACGACCTTAGGTTAAAAGAAAAACTTTTTAAGTTCGAGTTGTCGCAAGTGCGACTGCCGGGCAAGTGATCTCCGGTTCGATTCCCGGGTCGGGCAAAGTATTACCGGGATTTTTTTAGAAATTCTCAATAGTAGCACGGAGTCTGGAATTGTGTCCGATATATGGCAATAGGCTCACCCACAATACATGGGACTCATAACATAGATAGCGAAAGTGGGTGTGACATTAAGTGCCGTAATGTGCACCTCTGCCTACCGCTTCGGGGTTAAAAGGCGTATTATTGTAACTTTCAACTCTTTTTTGACCCAAAGGGTTCAATAGGAACATAAATAATTTGTGAGGTTTTTTAACAAGTAATAATTTATACCGCCATAAAATATGTTCCAGATTTCATTAGTGGAATTCGACTTGTCAAAAGTCTTTTCGTTTCTCCACATCCATACGCCGAAACCCGCCAGAATAACACCATGTCCTAGATCCCCGAACATTATTGCGAAGAGAAATGGGAACGTGACTAGAGTATAGAGACCTGTTAAATAAAATTAAAATTATTTTTTTTTCAAAATATTAACAATATGGAGATCTACCCACTACCATCTGCCATCTGGCAACAGAACAGAGAACTAATCTAGACGTGGTTACTCTTTCTATGGAGTTAAAATAATATAAAATATTCTTCTTAAAATACTATTTATTTAACACTAAGCCGAGATCGTGAGATGTGTGAAATAATTAAATTTCTTGAACACTCTCAAAGTTGAAATGAAGGCAACTCGTAATAGATTAACCAAAGTTAGCTTTGCAATTCAAAGTTTTGCGAGCGGAGTTACAAACAGTGAAACAAATGTCAACGCGGGCACGTGACATTTATGTCTATTAGTTAGTTGCACGCAAATGCAATATTATAATCAACAGGCTTGTAACGTATCGGTGCCGAAACATGTACCTACACAGTAATTAATGCCGTATCACCAGGCCCAGATCTGCTGAATCAGGACATTACACCTACTTTGATGCAACGAAGGTTCTACGAACTATTGCAACATTCGAACTGCTGATTCGTTTCCTCTTGTCGCCACCATGTGCCCAGCTACGAATTGTTACATCATCGTTCACTAGATTTAACCTTAGTAAAACCTTCATACTTATTTTATAATAAATAATTTTATGATAAGAAAGCAGCGTTGTTCAAACATCGAATGCATTCGCTCTTAGTTTAGTTAGATTTTAGGAGTTATCATGTAATTTTAATTATAATAAACTTAGTAAAATGATTATAGTTTCCATTTGCACCATCTGTCGGTGGCAAAAACTTAACTGGCTCACTACCTTTGGTTTTACAAAAAAAAACAAACAAATGTTGAAAAGCTAAAAGCCGAAATTATATCTATTATTATTGGACGTGGCTTTTGAAAATTCCTAATTTATGAGGAATGACTTTATATAAGCTACTTATTAGGTTAGATTAAGTAATCTATTATTTAATACAAAAAAAGAATCTTCTTTTTTAGAAATGGCAACTTGAAGTTGTGGAATAACGTGATTAAGGCATAACGTCAACGCAGGAAACAACGGGCGTTAACCACTTTATTCTCTCTTCTTAATTCCCCCACTTCTCCTAGCTATCTATCCTCCTATTTTCAGTTCATAAGTGCAAACCACAGCAAGTATCTTCGTTCCACTAATAATCTTCTTCTACAATGTCCCACACACCGTACCGACTTCCTTCACTCTTCATTCTTTGTCCAATCCATTCTGCTGTGGAATGCGCTGCCCACGGATGTCAGGACGGCAACCAGCCGGCTTAGTTTTAAAGTTAAGGTTCGTGAGCTATTGCAGAGGGAACAGACAGACGCATCACGTACTTAATTTATCATTTTGGCGATTGTATTTAATATATATGTATATAAATATATATTATATGTAGTTTTATTCCCAATTTATTTATTTACTTTTATAGTATTGTTATCTAGTAATATTGATAATGTATCTTATGTAATTTATATTATACCTATATATTATACGGATATATGTATGTATTTACAGTTATGTATAATCATGAATTTATTTATATAGATTTTTCTGTGTCACATAAACCATTATACCTATACGCCTACTGTTGCACATCTCTGCATCACCCCATGGTTGACTGTTAGAGAATGCCACCCGGCATTAAGTCCGCCATCGTATGTTTGCTATACAGAAGTGTTAATAAATAAATAAATTAAGAAGACATTTGCATAACACACTTCCAAGTAGTACTCAGGTGAATACCTGGATTTAGTTCTCTATATGTAGAATCACCATAAGCATTGATAAGATTCTGAAATCCTCTGGTAAACTTATTGGTACGATGAAAGGTAGGAGGCATTTGTTTGGTTTCAATCTTGGAAGTAAATGAGGGCACGTTCGACTGTGAATCATCCTGGAAACAATCGACAGGATTTTAAGTTATTTTATTTGTACAAAAATCATGGTCTCGTCATAAACGATGCAACAGAGTACATGACACAGGTGACATTAAATTGATTGTATGGAATTTTATAAAGCCCTTGCAACATAATTCCATTCCTAGTCCAATCCGTTAACTTAAAATAAAATAATTTTTAAGGCACCCTTTCTATCGAATTAGTTGCTTAAAACCTATACAACCCACGTACAGAACATTTCGTCAAAATATCATTGACTCTTTCCACGTCGCAGGTCGGTATCCAGCACTCGCCGATCAAACATTTTTCCTTGCGCATCATATTCATCGTATGATAGATAGCCTTCGATTTTTTTACTTGTGCCAACCAAAGCCGAAAGCTCCTACTCACAGTGCGCAAAGTCTTGCATCGAAGGTATTTTGTTTTATTTAAAACCTGAAAAGTACATGAAAATTAATTATAGATGATAAAGCATACTTATTATTAACTAATTTATAATGTGCTACTGTATAAAGGTCTCCTCTTTGGGTGGATTTGTTGCGTCGTCGCCACAATACTGGCTGCCAGCTTGGGAGTCGCAGTTAAGTCACCACTGTTTGTCTTTTGTAAGACTGGGAGCTAGCTATTTTCTGGGGTTCCAAGTTCAGTATTATTAGGTCCATCTGTAAGTGGTCATTCAAAACAAAATCTTCCAGTACTCTAAACCTTAAAAAGAACCAAAATTGTAATACTCAATGTTCAGAGATAGGATATCAGTAATTAAACTTGTAGGAATTTGAGATCAGTAAAGCAATATATTTTTAAATTCCCCATTATACGGTGATAACCATGCCGATTGAGCTTAAAGATAATGATGTTCTACTACTATCACGATGATGATTTAGTTTATTGCTATACCTCATCCAAATCACTTATCCTTATTTGCAGTTTTTCCATCAAATCCATTCTCTCCTGTTGAGTATTTGGACATGGGAAGGTATTAACTTGAAAACCAGTACAAATCTTTTCTACGCGCACTGCTAGCGCTTCACCTTGACATATTGCTAGAAACGCGACCTTCCTGATTTCTTGACGCTGCACGAGATTAACATTTTGAGAATCAATTAAAGTTCAGTCATTAATTACCAAAATACATAAATAAATGTGTATTAATGAACTATAATAATGTCATATATATTAGTTAATTATATACATACATTTCATAGACCCATATAATTTCATGAATACATACAGTTTGTGGATCGATAAGGATCTTGTCATCAGAAGCCTGTTTATAGTAGACGATGCCGTGCGAGACCCTCCACAGCATCATTTCGAAGGCAAAGCATTTGGTTCTTCGGACAACTCCAGTTATAACGATCAGACGACCTCCCACCACGTCACCAGCTGCAGCAGCTGTCTGTTGTTGCTGTTGGTCTCTCTTCCGACTGGTCACCATAAAAAGACAATATAAAATATCAGTTACAAATGTGTATGTAAACTTGTATAGTATATTTGTAAACGCACCAGTGGCACAGGAGAAGATCCTAGTGTGGGACGCTAACGCTTTTTTTAAAAAGAGAAAGAAAAAAGCACGTCAGATACCAATTTTTCATCTTATTTCTGTAAATTAGGTCATGGACATTACAATATGGGCGATATCTCTGATGACTTGACTCGACTTACGCCACAATCAACGGTTACGGGTATGAAAACAGTTTCTCTCTTCTATCTCAAATATTACAAAATATGCTTTTTAAACAATTGTAATCGTTATTACCTACTCAATAAAGTTTCCTTTCTTATTTCAGAGTCTCCTAATAATGGTCCAATGTATGTCAAAACATAATGAAACTCGGTCAACTCAAAATAACTTTTCAATAATGATACTTCGTTTGCCGTCATGTCTTGTATGTCTTGTTCCCATCTTTCTAGCATATTCTGTAATGAGATAAATATCGAGTTAGACTTATATCTGAGGTCTTCTGAATAAAGTATCGGTCGGTAGTTGGCCAACCATTCTTGAGTAGCCGATAGTACCTACTGACATATTCTTGTATGATTATTTAAGAACTTTAAAATGAAACCATTGAAAAAAAATTGTTTTAACTTTTGTACAAAGCGCTCTACGAATTCGAATCGAATTTAACCGATTCTACTACTCATAAGAAACATTTGCTTTAACTGATTAGGGGAAGAAGGTTTATTGGACCTACACACAAATATGATAAAAAAAATATTCTGGATTAAGATTTTGAAGCCTATTCTTTGAGATAATAGGCTCCTCTTCCACCCTGGTCATCAACGGACACATTTTAATGTAACATCCTAAAACAGTTATTACGATTCTAGCATTAATTTATGTCTTCGTAAGCAATTACACTATTTATAAAATGTCAATCACACGTCACATTGATTGGCGTTTAATTATATAGCACTAATACGCTCTAGGGGAGATTCGCAATACCTCAATTTTGGTACGGATATTTATTTCACAAAACTTATAATAATACAATTTTGACGCCTTCGAAATAGAATGTTATTCCTAATAGTTACTTATTATATTATTGAAACATAATTTTGTATCTTGGCAGAGTTATATTCCTCAAAATAAAAACACGTTATTTACTCTTCGAGAGAGTGCAGGTCTATCTAGAGGTAGATCAAGCAATATCTTGTCTCGTATTTTTTATTCATTGGAATATTCACTTTGTGTATTATAAAAGTGATATATATTTGTGTGCCTATTTAAAACAATATGATGACATGTATATAGAAGGTGACAGGTTACAATTTAAGGATATATTTGCTACCTCAAACTGCACCATTTCATTTAATGGTTGGGCAGTAGCCTCTACATTTTGTTCTTCTGCCATAGGTATATTGTTGAGCCTCATTTCGTTCGCTATAACTTGAAGCCTCCGTTCCATCTCCGAATAACGGCACACCTCTAAGACATAGTTCCGTTGAAACAGTTGAAGATCTGGATACATCTGGAAATTCATGTTCTTGAAACCTTATTTTAGTCCAAAAAGAGAATATGATAATATAAAGTAGACTAAACAAGAAATAAAACTATTTTGCGATAAGTAGTAAATACATTTAAAAGAGAAGGTAATTTTTGGTAATAAGGGATAGCAATTACTTCTAGAAGTAAGAAAGAAAGAGAAGAGAATGAAAACTGATGCTTAACGGGTGTCACTTTACTAAATCACTAAATACCTTACGTCCAATTTCAATAACCTATCTATCTTCAGATTGGCTTACTAGAGATAGAATGTTGACACTTTTTGTATGGAGCTTATGTCAAAATTCTATCTCTAGTAAGCAAATCTACAGATAGATAGGTTATTGAAACTGGCTGTTAGAAAATCTAGGCGATTCAAGAAGACGTGCCTACATTTTTAGCAGAGTCTAATGACAAAAAGGAATGATATTAACAACATACGTCTATGAATTGCACGCAGCCCAACTCTCCAAGCTGAGAGAGAACGTCAAACGCTACTTCTGGCTGGAGATACATGCCACATAGGGTCATAGGATCACTCCTGAGCATGCAACCCATTTTGTACCTAGAAAAAAAAAAGTCTGAGAATGTAGGACAGAATTTAAAGATATTTTCTTCTTTTATCCCTCCTAGTATTGATTAGATTGCTCATCAGGCGATCCATCTGCTCATATGCTCTTAAAAAGAATAGTGTACTGAAGAAGAAGAAGAAGAAGAAGAGAGAAAGAGAGAAAGAGAGAGAGAGAGGGAGAGAGAAAGAGAGAGAGAATTATACTTTCGATTAGAAAAAATGTGAATATTTTTCTTGTATAAATTGAAACGTTTTGATAAATCTGTGGAATAGCAGAATGCTGCGATGAATCGAAACATTGTGGTCAAAATAGGATTTCAAATGGCCTTTCCAAAAACAGCTTAATCGAGTACTGAAATGACGGGAATTGAAAGTGTAGCTGCCACGCACAAAATGTAACGTTACTACGTTCTACAAATTGAAAGGTGGTTTCAGTTGACGAAATGGCTCCCATACAATTACTAAAGCGCATTCGTGGTTAGGGCCGGCACAGCGCCAATTTGCACTACAAATTCGGCCGTTAAAGAGGACTAGTGGTATATTTCTTCTGTAAGTTGCCTGATGATGATGGAGATAGACAGGAGGTTTATGTAGGCAGTAGTACTATGTGGTTTCATGTTGAGAGCTAACTAGTTTTAAATATTTGGACAAAAACTGTAATATTAAATGTTTTCCATCCATATTTTTACACCCTGATCTAAAATGATCTAACGAAGTAGTTTCAAATAATCAGTATACATTTCTTATTAAGTTGTTGGAGAGGTACATTGGTGTAGTGGATATTCTACGAAGAAAATATGTTCATAGTACCTATTTATCAATTACCTACTGAGATCTACGAGTATTGGTGTCCTTACAATAAAGGTACCTACTACAATAATGGTCATAAATTGATGAACATTTTAATATTCTTAGTTTATTCAAACAACGACATAACATAACATCACGCCTTTTATTCCCGAAGGGGTAGACAGATGTAACAACACTTTGCAACAATTTATGTTCTGAGTCCCATGTAATGGGGTGAACCTATTGCCATATACCGGACACATTTCCAGCCTCCGTGCTACCTACTACTGAGATTTTTTTTAAAACTCAGTAGTACTTTGCCTGATCCGGGAATCGAACCCAAAACCCCTTGCCCAGCAGTCGCACTTGCGACAACTCGGCCAACGAGGCTATACAATTTACGACTATATAAAATATAATTAAAGATACACATATATTTATTTCTATCAATTTTAAATATGGTAAGTAAATAACAATGTAATGATTTTAAAATCGTGCTAAGACTATAAAAAGGGAATTACCTGTTGAAATGCCTTTAATTCTCGTTATTAAACCTGTATTTCTACAATATCACTGTCGCAATGTCACAAAGTTTCCAGACAGATGCTTACGAAGATCTTTTCTCGACTTTGACGTAAAATTTCAGTTCTCTTCTTTATTTTAAATTTTAAATCGGTGTAATGAGTCCTTAATAGTAAAAAGTTCAACTATTAAGTATAGGTTTAATTAGCTGTAATGAAGAAAATACAATTACCATTTATGGGAAATAATAAGGGCCCCCTAAAACTTTTTCTCCAGATATCTATGGCCGACTATAAAAATGGATCTTATAACAAAACTAAATATCCGAATAAAATATTGAACCTCCGACAATTACTAGGTTATACAAAGCATAATTTTCAGTTAAACATAATTTATGCTGATAGAAAAGTATTATAGCCGTAAACAGTCATGTATATTTTACGAAGATTTCAATATCTCATTCGGTCGTTTCGTCATTTTTATTCGGTCAAAAGTAGTCGGAAAGTCAGTATTTTAAGCAGTAGATTTAATATTTTGAGTAAAGACAATTCTTCTTTTTTTGCCGGAGCCTTTATTACTTACTCTTACCCTTCATTTATTTACATACTCATGTTTAGATGGTGTTTACAGAATTTGCAAAACAAATATTTGTTTGTATGTTTTATTTACTTAAACTGTAAAAAACAATATTTATTTGGTTCTAGTTCAAAAATATGACCTATACCTATATATATGGCAAACTCACTAGAGTTTCAAAAAGAATACCAACTCTTCATAACAACATCCCATAAAATGAATCTACTTCATACCTTTTCCCGCAAAGTTTCAAAGAAAACCCAAGTAAGTTTGTTTCCAATCGATTGAGTAGTTTATAAAATGACAACATTGATTTATTTGAAGTGGGTACACGATACCTTAGAGATGGTTGCATACAAATAGCCACCATAGTTACACCACCGTGTTAGCTACTCCCCGAAGGGCTAGGTAGAGAGATGCTCATCTTAGAAATAGTTAAACAAAAGGCTTGAAGAAACTATGCCGTCTGCGCATGCCGCCTTCCAGAACACATTGAAATCACCAGTTTCTCAGACTGCCAATTTTAATTGCCACGTAATTAGCCTGAAGCATTTATGTTTAAATCGGGGAAAAGTATTGTTTTATTATTTATTTATTTTATTTTTAGCCATGATCGTCCTACTGCAAGGCAAAGGCGGCGGCGACGGCAAGCTCTCGCGTCCGGCCCTAGTGCGGGTCATGATGCGGAGCGAGGTGGACTGGGGTGCCGTCTCCTTTTGCAGCAGTCATGATAGATAAGGAGGAGGCGGGGCGCATGAGGTAGCGAAGCGTTGCCTCCTCACAACTCAGCCGTCACGAAGGACACTCCGGGCGTCGGGGATCGCGGGACGATCTCCGACAACCGTAAGCGTGGGCCTACGGACGGCGAGCATGCGTGGCTCGCCGCCCGACCAGAACCAGACCCGAGCGTATGGCACGTTGCGTTTCTCGCGTGCCTCAAAGAGCCATCAGACCACCACGGATGGGGCCCAATAGGGCTGATGCCGATACGGAGCCGCGGAGAACTTAACGGGTTACCGGGGCTCCGGCTCGAAGTGCAAGAGAAATAACGGAGTAGTTTTTAGTCAGAATGAGTCTGACACTCCCTCCCGCCTTACCCAGGTGAGAGAAATCATTAGATGATTTTCCCCCTTTAAATAAAAAATACCCCTCCTTCCACTCATCTCTTCATATAGCTTTCTGTGGCCAATCCTTTTCATAGGCGTCAAGTTCATCCCACCATCTCCTTCTACCTACTGCGACAAGTATAGTTTAAAGGCAACAAAAGTCACATAGTGTACTGAAGCCATATCACCTGCTACTGTCATTTTTATTGACTGAATTGACGTTAATATAATGTCTTACGCCTGTGATATTAACTAGATGGAGCAAAAGGGCGTCTATAGAATATTTGTAAAAATAAATACAAAATATACCTCTAGAAAGCGAATGTGTAATTAAAATAAGTATTGAAATTATTGCTAATAATTACCGCTGCACTATCTCCCTACATGCGGTCAGTTTGCACACAAATCTTGTAATCACCTCACGCTGTTTATTTGCTTAGTTAGTGAGATACAAATCCCACCACACCCTAATCTCTTTAGAATGTGTGCCATTTGTATGTGCACAAGCAAAGTACACAACGGAGTGTTGCTATGTTCATGTAAGTTTGAAATATTAACTAGTATCACTTATAGTAACATAGAATGGGTATGATGACAGGGTATGAAAATTAAAAATATAATTAGTCCGTAAGTTAGGTAATAAAAAAATATTAGACACGTATTTTTTTAATTTGTCGTATAATAAAACAATACTTAGATAAAACGAATCAAAGTTAAGGAGTGGGGGCTAAAACGTCATTTCTTAGTATAAAATGTACTGAGAAGTGACGTCACGCGACATTTCAAATCAATATATCTTCGAAACTATTCGTTTCTGTGAGAAAATAAAAAATACGTGTCTAATGTTTTTAAATAATCTACCAGACGGACCTTAAAATAAAAATTAGTCGTCTACCCTATTCTTTTATTAACTATCATAACATAACATCACGCATTTTATCCCCGTAGGGATAGGCAGAGGTGCACATTACGGCAGTTATTTTTGCAAGATTGATATTTGACGTAATTATATGAACTATTTAATTTCTCGACATGTTTGCATCATACTACGTTAAATTTGTCTGTACCTGAATTTGCATGGCGTGATCCTGATTATGGAATGACATATCAGATCACCTTGTTAACTTGCCCATATTCTGCAAATGAATTAAGTATTTGAATTTAAAAACTTAATGCTACTGTGCAATGTAACACCCACTTTTAACTATTATAAGCCCCATGTGATAGGGAGTGATCCTATTACCATATAGCGGGCACAATTCCAGACTCCATGCTACGACTGGGAGTTTTTAAAACCCAGTAATACTTTACCCGATGCGGGTATCGAACCCAAGACTCTTTGCCCGGCGATCGTACTCGATTCCAAACAGCCAAGGAGACAGTCAGTTTTATAAACTACATTTAAAATAACCGACGCCAACCCCCTCTTTCTTTGCAGTCGGTTAATTATTTTACTAAAATATTCTCTTAAGTGTTTTTTTTTTTTCATGTTAACCTAAGTGTTCTTTTAACACTTTTCTGAAAACCGCATCAAAATGGGTTCAGACAATCGCGAGACACACACAGTAAACATACATAATATATACATTCACGTCAAAAGACAACCTTTTTTTTTTGAAGTCGGTTAAAAATCTTTACCTATCCAATAATAAAACTTCATAAAGATCACTCCGTCTTCATTATTACAACGCTGTAAAGTAAAAACTTTCTTTTCGCGTATTACTACGTAGATAAAGATATTTATTTATTAGCCTATGTATCGACGGGCTACAAATCAACGGGGCTCAGCTCAATCGATTACTTTCTACCTTGGTACCTTCTTCTGTTATTCTTTGGCTCCCTTGAGAGAGACAGGCACAGGAATAATTTACTGTTTCCCAACTAAGTTTTGAGGTGGGCTCGTAGTTCCCCTGGGCCGAAGTACCGGTACCTGCTTTCTTCTCGTACATTAAAGTCAATTGCTAACATTATTTTGAATACAAAAGTATCTAATT